CCATTCCCACAGCCATCTCTCAACCCTTCCTCCCTCCCTCCACACCCACAGCCACCTCTCATCCCTCCCTCCCTCCATCCCTACAGCCACCTCTCATCCCTGCCTCCCTCCTCCCCACAGCCACCTCTCATCCCTCCCTTCCTCCACCCCCACAGCCACCCCTCAACCCTCCCTCCCTCCCCACAGCCACCTCTCATCCCTGCCTCCCTCCTCCCCACAGCCACCTCTTATCCCTCCCTCCCTCCACCCCCACAGCCACCTCTCATCCCTCCCTCCATCCCCACAGCCACCTCTCATTCCTCCCTCTCTCCCTCCCTCCCCACAGTCACCTGTCAACCCTCCCTCCATCCCCACAGTCATCTGTCTGTCCCTCCCTCAGTTACTCACTCTCTCTCTTTCTCCATCCCCCTGTTGATCTCTATCCATTCCCTTTCCTATTCCCCTTTTGCATTCTCTTTCTCTGTCTTTCTGAGTGGACTGTAACCTGATCTGAATCTGGTTATCTCACATGAGCCCCCATAATTAGGCTCGGCGCTGTTGGGAACACAGGGCCACTGCCTGCTCCCCAAGCAGTAGGTATGCAGCTCCCTTCCCAGGCTCCCTCCATCCTCTCCTCACCCGGCATGTTTCCCGGCTGGTCTCCCTGGTGCGCTGTGCTGTGGAAGTTTTCATACCATTCTCCGGATGAGGTGCTGGAGCTGTCTGCTCCATCGGGCCCTGCTGGAGACAACCCCGGACACGCTCACCCTTCTGGTGCAGAGGGTGAGGAGCATTTCCAGGCTTCTGGTAGGGGAATTGGAGTGACTATCCATACTGGGAATCCAGCAGGAAGGGGACAGAGGTTATCTCCCATCAGCTGTCTCAGTCCAGACCAGGTCATCAGCCCTGATGTCCCCAGAGAAGAGGTTCCCTGCCCCGCAGGTCAGGGCGTTGTCAGAGACTTAATGGCCCATGGGTGACCTTTTCCTGTCCCACCGATGCACAGAGAAGGGTCTGGAGGGTCCGTGGAGGCCTTTCTTCATGGAGATTGTGAGGGATGGCTAGGGCCCAGCGCACATGGAAGCCCTGCTGAGCAGGTTGGGGCGGAATCATTGCTCCTGGGATGATTTTCCCTTCCACAAACACAAGGGGTTTGATTTTCCAGCCTTGGATCTTGGGCCCAGCCCAGACTTCCCTCCCCTTCCCTCTTCTGGGGCAGGAGAGGACGTGCTGGGACGTTGCTCCTCAAGGGCCAATGCTCAGAGATGGTCCCACTGGCCATAAGAGCCAGCGGGCGCTGGCCCATCTTGCTAACCTTGGAAGGAGAGCTGGGAGCCACCATTGCCCTGGGCAGGAGGCGCTGGCATTAAGAGGCTGCTGGTGGGAGGAGTGGCCAGGTTGCCCCACTGTTGCTGCCTGGTGGTGCCGCTGTTGTAGTAGTTGTCCTCTGAGGATGAGCTGGACTCAGCGGGGGGCTCTGCAAGAGAAGCAGCCTCTCCATTAACGCAGCCTTCCACCGACCAACGCTGGCAGTGCCCGAGCCTGCCCCATCCAGGGAGGCTACAAATCTACAGAGAGCCCCTTGGAGCTAGATGGAGAGTTTGCAGCACTGCCCTGTCCACCTAGCCCCAGTGCCCGGGATGTGGGGAGAGCTGGAAAATGGCCCACCCCTGACCCTTGCTCTGCCCCAGCGAGGGCCCATCAGCACAAACTCCGCTCCACCCCATGCACTGGAATAGACAGACGGATGGGGACTGAGGACAGGCAGACGGAGAGGCGAACACCAGGGGAGCTGGGGCTTTGGGGCCCCTTTCCTGGTACTGTGCTTCCCATCTCTATCACTCGCCCAGTCAGCAGCACCAGCTCTCACCCTCGCGGGGCCTTTGCTCTGGCTGGCCCCAGGGCTCCGGGCCCTCATTCAGCACCTCCTGGCCAGGTGCCGGGGGGAAGCCGCTCGCAGGGAGAGTCTCGTCCGCTGCTCGGTGCCGAAGTGAATCTGCAACCAGAGGCAAAGGGTTCCAGCAAACCTCGCCTGGCCCAGCATCACAGCAGGGTGAGCTGGCAGATCACCACTAACAGTACTCCCTGACCCCGCCCAGTTCCCCTTGACCCCAGCCAACCCCATACCCCCTGATCCCTGGATCCCCTCTGAGCCCAATCAACCCCTGTACCCATTGACCCCGCGATCCTCCTGACTCCAACCAACCCCTGTGACCCCTACCCACCCATCCCGGATCCTTCTGACCCCACCCCCATACATCCCTGTCCCCAATCCCTGTTGGTCAGGATGGAGGGGCACTGGCAGAGCTGTGGGATGGGGAGCCCAGGGCTGGGATAGCAGGGGCTGCAGGTCAGGATGGGGAAGCATTGGCAGAGCTGGGGGGGTGGGGAGCCCAAGGCTGGAGCAGCGGTGGCTGCGGGTTGGGATGGGGGGGCATTGGCAGAGCTGTGTGTGCAGGGCCAGCCCAGTCTGGCACAGAGCAGTGTGAGGGAAGGCAGGGCCCTGTGGGGAGGCAGAAGCCCCAGGCTGCGAAGAGCCCGCATGGTGCAGGTGTGGGGGGGTCGCTCACTGTAGAAGGTGGAGAGCGCGACGGGCGGCTTGCTGCTGAAATCATAATGTTCATAGTCGGAATCGGAGTCCTCGGAGCCAGGAGCGGGCACGGCCAGCGGCTCTGCTAGGGGGGCATGAAGGGAGCGGTTACTGGGGGACCTGTTTGGACTAGGGCTTGCCAAGTGTGGGGCAGTGCCTGCCGGCCCTCCCAGAACCCTATGGGGCCACACAGCCATGGCTCCCAGCCCAGGTCCCTCAGTGCCTTCGGGTGAAATGGAGCAACTAGGAACGGTGCTGGGGTGGGGCCGGTGCCATGTAAGCAGTCGGCTCTCCTAGCCCACCATCAAGCGCCCCATGGACCAAGAACCGGGAGCCTTTGGGCTGGATACTCAGCCAGGATGGGAGACGGTGGCCAGGAAGTAGGGTGACCCGATGTCTGGTTTTCAACCAGGTGACCTTGGTGGCTCTGGTCAGCACTGCCAACTGGGCTGTTAAAAGCCCGGTTGGCGGTGCTAATACAGGCTACTCCCTACCTGTCCTGGGGCACTGCGCTGCGCCCCGGAAGCAGCCAGCAGGTCCGGCTCCTAAGCGGGGGGACTACAGGGCTCCACGCACTGCCCGAGCACCGGCTCCGCACTCCCATTGGCTGGGAACCGGCCAATGGGAGCTGGAGGGGCGGTGCCTGCGGGTGAGAGCAGCGCGACTGCGGAGCCTCCTGTCCCGCCCACCTAGGACCCGGATCTGCTGGTCGCTTCCGGGGCACAACGTAGTGCCCCAAGACAGGTAGGGACTAGCCTGCCTTAGCCCCGCTGTGCCGCTGACCAGGAGCCGCCCGAGGTAAGCCCGTGCCCCAATCCTGAGCCCCTCCCAAACCCGGAGCCCCCTCCTGCACCCCAGAGCCCACACCCCAGCCCAGAGCCCTCACCCCCCCTGCACCCCAACCCTCTGCCCCAGCCCACAGCCCCCTCCCACACCCTGAACCCCTCATCCCTGGCCCCACCACATAGCCCTCACCCCCTCCTGCACCCAAACCCCTGCTTCAACCTGCAGCCCCCTCCCACACTCCAAATCCCTCGGCCCCACCCCCCAGCCTGGAGCCCCCTCCTGCAACCAAACCCCACATCCCCTGCCCCACCCCAGAGCCAGCACCCCCATTTAGAGCCCTCACCCCCCTCCCGCACCCCAACCCCCTACCCCAGCCCTGTGAAAGTGAGTGAGGGTGGGGGAGACCGAGCCACCGAGGGAGGGGGAAATGTAGTGAGCGGGGGCGGGGCCTCGGGGAAGGGGCAGGGCTAGGGTGTTCAGTTTTGTGCGATAAGAAAGTTGACAACCCTACCAGGAAGGGCTGAGAGGCAGGGAGCAGAGAGAGGTGTGGTGTAGGGGAGGGGCAGAGACAGGTTGAAAGGCAGGTTGTGGGGGAGAGTCAGGATGTAGGGCAGGCAGGGAGGGGTGTTGGGGGGAGGAGCAGGGAATGTGGGAGGGGAAGGGGAGGCAGGCGGAGAAGCGGAGGGGGAGGAGCAGAGAGTATGGAAGGGGCTGCGAGGAGAGGGGAAGGTGGGGTGGGGGCAGAGAGGTAGGGTATGGGGGAGGTGGGGGCAAAGAGGTTGGGTGTGAGGAGGCAGAGTGTGGGAGGCTATGGGGGAGGAGCAGGTTGGTTGTTCAGAGAGGTGGGGTGGGAGGGAGGGGCAGTGGGCGGAGGGGAAGGTGGGAGGGAGCGAAGAGATAGGGTGTGGGGGAGGGTCAGTGGGGGCAACCAAGCAACAGCTGATACCTTCTGCTTTGCGGGGGGCTTTCCTGTAGTCATTGGCATCCCCTGCGGGCGTCTCCGGGCCCTGCGCACTATGATTCACCAGGACCGGGGTGGCTAATGAGGAAGAGGACACGGCGTGGGCTGCAGACAGAGTGGGAGAGAAAGGAGACAGGTTGCTCCATGAGGCCGTACAGGGCCTGGCACAGCCAGGCCAGGGCCCACCCCAGGCTGTGAGGGGGTCCACACTAGTCCTGCATGCCCCGCGGGTCCCGTCTAGTCCTATGCTCTGGTGCTGGGCTCGCTCCCCCTTTCATGCTCCCGGCTGCCATTGCTCTGGGGAACTGTTCAGCAGAGCATGAGCGACACCCGGCGCACTGCCTGGGCGTTCGGGGACAGGACAGCAGCCACGGCGAAGCAATCCTGAGCCCCTGAGCGGGTAACCAGGGCCAGATCCTGGTGTAGATCAGAACAGCTCCACTGATTCCAATGGAGCTACGGCCAATTGACACCAGTGGGGGATCGGGCCCCGTTTCATGTCACCCCATGGCTGGGTGCTGCCAATGGCCCCACCCTGGACCAGTGCTTTGGCCCGCTGCAGCCCCCATGATGTCACTCCCCCATGCAGAAGGGCTTGTCTGACGGCTCTTCACGGCGGGCCATGGCTCTGCCTGGCCCCCCAAGTGCCCAATCTCACTCTGGCAAAGCCCCAAGCAGCAAAGCTACCGTGTTTCCTCCTCATCCTCAGAAGGGCGGCGGTGAAGGCCAGCACGGTGACCAAGAGGAGAAGGCCCAGGATGACACAGAGGAGGAGGAGAGTCCAGTTCGAGAGGGCCTTGGCTTCCCAGCACAGTGGCTCAGCTGTGCCTGGCAATGGGGCGGGGGGAGAAAGGGAGGGACAGACAGATGGACAGACAGACGGACGGCAAGTCAGAGAGGCTCACGACACAGGGGAACTGTCACTAGGGCCTGGCATAGGGCCCCATCCCTGCTGATGTCAGGGGTGTTCCCAGCACCGTGCAGGCCCCTAGCTCGGAAGCTCTCTGAGGCAGGCCATGGGCTGACCCATGAGCCCCTTCCTGGCCCCCCAAACTTGGCATGGGGGAGGTCACAGGAAGGTGGCAGGTCCAGCTCCCTGGAGCTCTCCCTGCAGCCCTGACCCTGCCGGCAGTGCCGTAGTGGGGGGAGGCCTGTGAGTGCACGCCGTGTAGGGCTCTGCCCGGGGTGGGGGCGCTGGGTGGGGCAGAACGCCTGGCGCGCTGACAGCAGGAACACAGGAGGAGCTCAAAGCCAAGTCCCCGGCTCTTGGGGGGAATCCTGCTGAGGGGAGGGGGGCCTCTTTGGCTGCCCCCTCTGGGGAATGGGTGCCGCCAGAGGAGAGCTGCCCACGGTGCAGTGATCCTGGAGAGGTTTGACCTACAGGCAGGGGTGGCAAACATCCCCTCCCGCTCCAGTGGGGGAGGGCTCGTCTCGGATCCGGAGAGAGGCACTGCAGGAAGGAGGGGAGGGTCTGCCCCCCAGACACTCACTTCTGGCGTCTGGAGTCGTCATCTCCGTGGAGGGCACAGCAGACGTGTTCAGCAAGCCCAGCGAGCCTGGGGGGTGCCACAGACAGAGGGAGAAGAACAGTCAGCGGGGCTGGAAGGACAGACTCATTCTGGGGTGGAGACCCTCCCCTCTCTCACCGCCCCACCCGTCCCCTGGATCGCCCCCCACGTCCGCCTCCTTCCCTCCCCTCTCCTGCCACCCTGCCCATGTCCCCTGGATCACCCCCTACATTTGCCTCTTTTGCCCCGTCCTACCGCCCCATCCATCCCTTCTATCGCCCCTCATGTCTGCCTTCTTCTCCCCCGCCACCGCTGAGCCGCTGGCATATGTATGGACATGTCTCCTTCTTGGTCTCAAAGGTTACAATGTGATGTTACTCCCTTCTCCCTAGCTCAAGCCTTAGTGGCATGTGTTTTTTCTCCTGAGAGTTGCAGGTTCGATCCCTGCTCGGGTCTGTCTGGGTGGGGGTTCAGTATGTGACGAGGCAGCGTTACCATTGCAGATCACGCCGGCAGCCTGGGACTGGTGGCACAGGTTAAAGTTGTTGTAGTGCCATTGGCACCAGGACAGTGAGGGCTCGGTCCCTGAGCACTGGTAGTTCATCCTGCCCTCCTGTGTGTGGTTGAAGCTCAGCTTCCGGCCAGAGGGGCTGCACCCCAGCCACTGGCACAGCACGCCCATCTCCTCCTTGTACCAGGCCCCGTCACACACCGTGTTCCACACGCCCCGGTAATAAGCTTCTACGCGGCCAGCGCAGGCGTCCTTGCCCCCCGACAGGCGCCACTTCTGGTGCTCTGTGCGGGAATGGGGAGCAGCAGGTCAGCAAAGAGGGAACAGCCTCGGGGTCCCCACTCTGATGCAACACAGACAATAAGAAGCTGCCCACAATGGAAGTTTAGATCCTGCTGCATCTGGAGCCTGCTGGAGGCAGGAGGGATTTATCCCTTCCCCAAGCTGCCAGAGTCTAATTTCACTGCCCATCCCAGACAGACAGAGACAGGAACAATCCACCAGACAGATGGACATACAGGAGTGCTCTAGTGGACAGACAGAGAGGAGCTCTCCACTGGATGGACAGACACACAGGAGTACTCTGACAGACGGACAGGAGCTCTCCAATGGACACACAGACAGACACACAGGAGCATTCTACCGTACAGGGAGACAGAGAAGAGCTCTCCAATGGATGGACAGACAGACAGGAGCACTCCTTCAGATGGACAAGTGGACAGACAGATGCTCTCCATCAGACAGACAGGAATCCTCCCCTGGACAGAGATGGACAGTAATGTTCCACCAGACAGACAGAAGGACAAGTGCACTCTTCTGGATAGAGGAACAGACCTGAGCACACCACACCGGCATCTTCCTTGTGGCCGCAATCATGGCTCCTCTCAGCTGGACAGTCCCACAGTTGGGATTCGTTCCCAGCACAGCTCACCTCATCCAGGTGGATGGGGCCCGTCCCTTTGTGGAAGGAGGAGGCCACTGGAGCCTGGATGGCCCAACCGCACTTCAGCTGCTGACATACCACCCCGGCGTCATCCAGGTCCCAGGCGTCATCGCACACTGTGCCCCAGACACCGTCCAGCTCGACCTCCACACGGCCCTCACAGCAACTGCCCCCGCCAACTAGGCGCACAGAATGGGAACCTGGCAGAGAGGGCAAAGGGGGAGTGAGCACAGCTCAGAGATGGGCTCTGGGAATGGCAGAGAGAGAGACAGGCACAGGGAGGGAGAAAGAGAAAGAGAAAGGATGAATGGATGGATGAAGAGGTGTGTATGGGGGGTGGATCTGCTCTCAATGGATGATAGGTTATGTATGGGGATGGATGGATGGAGCTGGTGTCGATGGATGGGTAGGTGGATGGATGGATCCATGGAGCTGGTTTCAGTGAATGGGTGGATAGATCTGGTCTCAGCTCCATCAGCCATTTAATTATTTATCAGGAATGTAGCATGCAGGGGCACTCACCTGGGATGCTGCGATGGAGCTCACAGGCGGAAGGACCTGCTGGCCCCCTCAATTTTCTAACCTGCAAGGTGTGGAGGGGCAAGACTCCCTCATGGGCCAGAAACAGGCAGCTGGGAGGGCTGGGGTTTGGCCAATGGGCAGGGGTAGAGCTGGACTGGCCTCACCATGGAGTACGGATGGCTGATGGGGATAGGGCAGCAGCAGCGAGAGGAGAGCAGCCAGCATGCATGGATGGTTTCCCATTAGAAGCTGCTGATGGCTAACCTGGGCTCTGCAAGACACGGGATGGATCTGTTTCTTACCTGTGCAGGTGACGCTGGCCGGCTTCCCATTACAGCACAGCTCTGACACATTGCACTGCTTCCATGTGCTCTCCAGACCCACACAGTGGATGTGCAGGGAAGGGCAGAGGTTCTGAGAGGACAGGGTGGCTTTCTTTGTGGGTGTTGACCTGGGCGGGCACACAGGGCTGGGGGTGGGTTCAGCTTCTGTCTCCTTTGCCTCCCCACAGTGCAGCTGTCTGCAGACCACGTGGGAGGCCTCCTTGTCCCACATTTCCTGGCAGACTGGCATCCACCGCCCATCATGATGGACCTCCACGGCACCACTGCAGCGGCTGCTGCCATTCACCAAACGGACAGATCCCTCTCCCAAGAGGCCTGCAGGGCAGCACACGTTATTTCAGAGATAATCCATGGGATGGGCAAGATGGGTCAGAGCCATAAGGGATCCTGCGTAGCGGGGTGGCTGCACCTAAGGGGTGGGGCAGAGGGCTGGCTGCCCATAAAGGCATGGATCAGCGCTCGGGGGGGCATAAAGGCTGGGTGTGTGGCAGAGCGGGGGCGGGGAGCCCATAAGGGTTGGGCGTGGGGCCCATAAGGGCCTGGTGTGGGGCAGAGCTGTGGAAGCTGGTGCAGAAATCCCCAGCTCCGGCAGAGGGCGTTGGCTGGGCTAAGCCATGTGACTAACCCCGCGCTCTTTGTGAGCGATGCTGAATTCTTTACAGGTGGGATAGGTGCACCACACGCTGCCGCCCACGCTGCTTCCTTCCTCTTCAACCCAAATGTCACAGACGAGCGCGTGAGCGCCCCACGGTGATCTCAAAAAAACAACTCTGAGCTACGGCTACAGGCCAGCTGGTCTCAGCAGTGAGGAGACCCACCGAGGCACAAGGAGTGCTGGGCGGCTGTCATGCATAACCTGAGCACCCCCACCTCCCCACTCTCCCTTAATATCAGGGGGTCACTGTGCTACTGCACGTCCTAACCTGGGCACCCCCATCTCCCAGTGCTGCTGGAGCCGCTCACCCATCACAGCTTTTGCTCCATCTCCTCGCTATGATGGAGTCAGCAATCCTGCCCTTGGCAGACCCAGACTGGGTGCTAGAGATCCAGGAGGCTACAGAGTCTTTGTGTCCATCACCTTGATTAAGGACCCACCCTTGGTGTCTTCTGCCCCAAGTCCTGTCCTTTCCATATGGAGAGGGACACACTGAGCACAAGGGGGCTTCCCCCAGCCTGCCCGCTGTGTCCTCACCTGGCTCTGCAGACGTGTTCCTGTGTCCACCATGTGTGATGTTCCAGGGGATGGCAGGAGACGTTGTATTTGCCTGGACTGGAACAAACATGGAAACTGTTAGAATGGGGTGAGATCTCTGTCACCGGGGTAACTACTGAGATCCAGAAGAGGAAACCACCCCAAGTAAATGTCTAGGCCTGGGCTGAATGGCTCCATTCTGGAGAAGCATCCACAGACTCTGGAAGCTGATCTTAAGCTGAGGCCAGTTCTCCAGGTTACTCAGCGAGGCTGGCGATCTCAGGAGACCAGGCAGTCTAGCTGAGAGCTTTCGGGGACCTCTGGCCAATGTAAGATTCCTAGCCATGAAAAGAGCTGAGGGATCTCTGGGCCATGAGCTATGCTAGAGAAATGAGTGAGGTATAAATGCCTGGATAGATGGCTGGACAGACAGAATCAAGTGCAATAGAGTAGATTGCTGCAAATGTGGAGCCAATCTGAGGGTATACACCACCATAGTGCTTTAGCGTAAACACTCACTATGCCAATGGGAGGGGTTCTCCCGTCGCTGTAGTTAATCCACCTACTGGAGAGGTGGTAGCTGGGTCGATGGAAGAATTCTTCCGTCGATCTAACGCTGTCTAGAGCTGTCTTAGCTATGTTGATATATGTTTTCAGAGGCTGGTCGTTTCTTTCTTGTTCGGTGGGAAGGTCCCACGCAACCAAACGCATCAAGATCCAATAATACTGTGGGGGAACCCATCAGTCTGATGAGTCCCAGTTAGCTGAAGGTCTTGGAGGACACCTGAAGCCATCAGATGATCATGGGGCTCAGATCACCTGAAGAGCTCCTAAACTCCATAGAACTATGGATAAGTTCCCAAGCTCACCAGAGCAGAGCTCTCTGAAGCTAATGAACCCAGCCCTGGGCTATCCTTGAGCTTGGTAACGGGAGTTTGCTTGGTTAGGGCTCACCTCTGTGCACGTGTTATAGGGAGCTCGTGAAAAAAACAACAAAGCCCAACTGGGGCTCTGAACTGCTGGGAAAGTCATGGCAGTCGAATGGCACAGGCTGTGGTACAGGGGAAGTGACATGGCAACCAGCTCCCGGAAAAGACTCAGCCACTAAATTTCTGTCGATGTGGCTTCCCTGAGAAATGCTACAGTGAGCCCTGTGCTGACACAGCCCGCACATCTACACCCCTGCCCTTGCGCTCCAACGGCACCACGCCGGTGTAAATCAACGTAGTGCCATTGACTTCACTAGAGCAATGATGATTCACACCAGGCGAGGACTTGGGCTGGCATCCCTTTCCCCCTGTAGCTCCCTCCAGCTGGGACAGCCTCCTCCTTTCCAATGCACCCAGCAGCCGGGCTCTCCTTCAAATCCCCCTTCCCAGTCCTCTCCCTTCGGCCCTGTCCCGCACTCACCATCCTCCTCACTCCTCTCATCACCCTTCGACTGAGCTCCGGGTGCGATCTCACCATAAACAAGCCTGTTCATGTGAATGGACAATGGGATTCCTCCCTATATCAGCTCTAGCAAACCTCCTGCCAACCCCCACCACTTGGACCAGACTGTGGTACCCTTTATTCCCACTGAGGCATACCTTGGATGGCCCACTGACAACGTGTAGTGACCCAGTGGGAGTAGGGGCATCAGGACCCAACCCTTTGCTTTGATATCCCATCCCTTCATTCCCCCATCCACTCCAACCATTTGAATTTTGTCCATTTCAGTTGTAAGCTTTCTGGAGCCGGGATCATGCCATGTCTGCAAAGGGCCTTGCACAGCAAGAGAACAATGTGAGGAATAAGAGCAACTGTCAATGTCTCATCATCATAACAGCCCACTTTACGACGACACAATGACAGACAACCTGGTAGAATCTTTCCTTTTCAGACTAACACGGCTGCTACTCTGAAACCTTTTCAGACTATTTCCTGATCTGCAGAGCATCTCCTTGTATCTGTTTTTGCTGCCCCCCCTCTGACAGTGTCCACCGGCTCCTGTTTGTACTGCACCTACCACAATGGGCACCTGGTCTATGATTAGGGCCCCGATGTGCTAGGGTAACACAAATAATAATCATAATAACAATAATTATAGCATGGAGGGAGGGGCCTTCCTAACCAGATCTGGGCAAATAATGGATTTTTTGATTTGCTGGAAATTCTGAATAATTGGTCCCCGAAGGGTGGGGTAGGGGGGCAGGGAGGGAGTTGATTCAGTTTGAACCAAAAATAAAAAAATTCTGCAAATCAAAATGTTCACACAGAACTATTTTTCATAGATTCATAGATTCCAAGGCCAGAGGAGACCACTATGATTATCTAGTCTGACCGCCTGTGTAACATAGGCCAGAGAACTGCCCCCAAATCATTCCTAGCGCATTAAAAAAAAAAAAAAAATCCAATCTTGATTTACACATTGCCAGTTTGGGGTAGAATGAAATGTCTGGATGGTTTTGATGTTTTTTTTAAAACATAAAATTAAAGGAAAGTTGGAAGAAAAAGTCATTTTGAATCAAAAAATTGAAACGTTTCAATTTTCTCTGAATTTTTAAAGTGTATTTTTTTCCTGACTGAAAACAATTTGGTGAAAATAACATGAACTCATGAAAGGTTTTGGAGTTATTGAATTTTCATTGTATGCCAGAAAAAGTTGCCAATGAATAATTTCACGCAGTTGTGTTCCTCACCTGTGCTGGTCACCAGTGTATGCCCTGGAGCATGAGGATGGAGACCCACTCCTCAGATCATTTCATCCTAGCAAGCAGCACTGCAGATGCTGTTCTAACTCAGACAATCCTTCTGACAAACTGGGGTTAGACTTTAAAGGATGCAAAAGTACCTGGCAGAGACCAGGGAGATGAAGTAGTGGGTGAGCTCTGGGGTTTATGGGAAATAACCCATCTTCGCATTGACTGGAAATCCAGTCCGTGCCTTCCTGTTTTGCATCTATTGCTATTACCCTCAGTCTCCTGTGAAGGACTTCTCCCTGATTTCTAGCATTTTAATTATGTTCCTCTACCCCTTTCTCCCATCCCAATGCTCTGGCACCTTGTTTGTTTAAAGATCGGGGCCAAAGTTATCTTCCTTATTTCTAAATTGTATCCACATTGTGCCACTCCATTTCCCTGCTTGTTCTCTCTGTTTTGGATGCCTCACTTTCTTTCCCACAATCTCAGAGTGAGAGCCTTCTCCTTTGCATCTGCTGCCAGCCTTCCTATAACTCTCCACTGCATCATCTCTTAGCTGAAAGCGCTTCCTTCCCCTACCATACTAATAATAAAGGCTCTGGGAAACCAGCACTCAGGACACTGAAAACCATTCTAAGGAACACTGTTATTAGAGAAGAAAGGATGGAATACGGGGATAAAAACCTTCCTTTCCCCATCTGGTCTGTCAGTTCTTCAGGGCCGGAAGTGTCTCTCACTATGGGTTTGTGCAGCACCTAGCACAATGGGGATACAGAACACAAATACTAACAACGTATTACACACCTTCCTGGCATCACATAGTGAGTTTCCTGGCAGCAAGGCATGAACTGCATGCGGTCAACAGCCCTGTATAGAACAAGAATCGTTCCTGCACAAATGCAGCCCGAGCCACCTAGGTGGAAATGATCATCTCTGAATCTTTGAGATTCCCGACCCCTCTGAGTTGACTCTACAGCACGGAACAGAATCTGCTCCTGCCTCCATGGAAACATGCTGCACTCAACAGGGTGTTGCGTGCACACACGGCAAGGTAGTGTGAGCAGCAATACTTCTTTGAGGATTAAAACAAAAGCAGGGCTCTCCCAGTGCCTCGCCTCTTTGCCCTGGGGGGAAAGAGGGACAAAGACGGCAGCGACTTGGGAAATTGTTCTGATTCTGCTGATGAGGAACTGAGACCTCGCGTTGGCTTAGCCTGTCTGTGTCCCTTTGGGCAGAATTCGGAAATAGAGCGCACAACTATTCTTGGCCTTGTTTTCCTCCACACGCCAGGCCTGACGATTCATTGCACACACAAGAATTTCCTGAATCCTCATAGCTGGGAACGACTGATCTCTCTTTTCAGCTCCACTTAGCTTATTCTGGGGGTACTGTGTCTTTCATTTTCTTTCCCTCCTTGTTATTCCCATCCGTAACAAGACTTTCCCTTGCTAGGACTTTCGTCGCCCAAAGATCTTTAAGACCCCAAATGCATAAAGTCCTCCCACATGCTAGGATGAGTGTCATTATCCCCAGGCAGGAGGCCAGGCACAAGAACATAAACTCACTAATTAATTAACTAGTTAATAATTAAGAGGAGCCATGACTGAGTGGTTAAGATGCTTGATTACAACCCTCAAGGACATGGGTTTGAGTCTTGCTTGATCTCACTCTGAGAGGCCATCTCCAGTTCATCAGGCTGCAAAATGGGTAGCTGGCCCATTGGGTTAAGGCAGCCAAAGGCAATTGGACGTGATCACTCCTTTGTGTGTGAAATTGACATGCTTTAACTGCGTCAGCCTGATGAGCCATTGACTCAGGGGAACTTTGTGCCGTGAAAACAAGCTGGAGAGGTTAAAGGCCTGTTCCAAAGTTCACTACAGTCAGTGGGAGCCTTTCCATTGACTCCAGTGAGCATGGGATCAAGGCCTAACTGCGAGCGAGCTCCTGACTCCCAAGCCTGGGGTTTCATTCAGCCTCTTCAGACCATTCTGCTTCTGCTGAATGGCATCCCAGTGGGCTCAGCAGAGTCTGAGGACTGAAGGGGCATTTGCACCAGCTGGGGATCTGGCCTATTGACTCCCATGGAGCTGTGGCTAATTTACATCCACTGAGGATGTGGCCCATTGACTCCAATGGAGTGACACAGCTTTACATCAGCTGGGGATCTGGCCCACTGGGCTTACACGGGACTGCAGAAAGGTGCTACTCAGCATGAGTAAGTCTATGAGACGCTACCTGTTTTCTGTAGCTTAGCAGCACAGCCCAGAGTGGATCCTATTTCCTGCTGACTTCCCTGCCCTCCCCCATATCACCTCAGTTCTCCAAAGCCTTCATCTTTCTGCACCTGCATCTCTGCATAACGGCCCCTTGAGCTCTGTGCGACAGATCAGCTAGGCGCAGACAGAGGCTTCTTTTTGAGAGGAATCTACAGGAGCTGGAGCAGGGCCAGGCTTAGAAAAACCACGGCTTGGCTTTGACCCATGATCAGAAGTAGGAGGCAGGATGTGGACTAAACCAAGGTCCAGGGAATGGAAAAAAGGAATCTTAATTCATGAATGTTCATGATGTGCTTGGATATGATGAGTGACAGAGAAAAGCCAGTGAAATAAACACACGCAGACGAACATCTGCAGGGAAGACGTGTTTACGGCATATGCCCCATGGAGCTAATAGATCATTATCATCATTATCCGCACTTCTATAACCCTTTTCACTTAAGGCTGTTGTATTGCTTTATGTTTTTTGTATTATTACCATGATAATTTATTATTATTGCTGATGATTGAAAATTTCCCACTGAAATGTTTTTCAAATGGAAAACTCGGTTTCTGACTGATTAATTTGTGTGTGCGTGGAAAGTCTCTGCTTTCCTTTTTTTTTTTTTTTTTTTAATATTTTTTCATCAGAAAACTGAATTTTTTTGGCCAAAACCCAAAATTTCATAGATTCGTAGACTCCGAGGCCAGAAGGGACCAAGATGATGGCTTAGTCTGACCTCCTGTATAACACAGGCCATAGAACTTCCCCAAAATCATTCCTAGAGCAGAGTTTTTAGCAAAACAACCAACCTTGACTAAAGAATTGCCAGTGCTGGAGAATCCACCACGACCCTTGGTAAATTGTTCCAATGGTTAATTACTCTCACTGTTAAAAATGTACCCCTTAGTTCCAGTCTCAATTTGCCTAGCTTCAACTTCCAGCCATTGGACCGTGTTCTACCTTTCTCTGCTAGACTGAAGAGCCCGTTATTAAATATTTGTTGTTATAGACTGTGATCAAGTCACCTGTTAGCCTTCTCTTTGTTAAGTTAAATAGATTGAGCTCCTTGAATGTATCACTATAAGGCATGTTTTCTAATCCTTAAATCATTCTCGTGGCTCTTCTCTGAACTGTCTCCAATTTATCAACATCCTTCTTGAATTGCAGATACATGAACTGGGCACAGCATTCCAGCAGTGGTCGCACCAGTGCTAAATACAGAGGTAAAATAACCACTCCGCTCCTCCTCATGATTTTTGGCTTATGGTGGCAGCCACACTATCATCTCAAGCAGTTTGGAATGCTGTGAGCCAGATCCCTGGCCTTTTCTCTGCGCTGTTCAGACAAGGCAAAGCAGCCAGAACTTGCCCTAAAGGAGAAGCTAGGAGATTTATCTAGTGTGCAGGAACCCCCAGGTGGCAAAGAACCATCTGCTCCCCAAGTCAGGGGCAAATAGGGGTCTTGCTTAGGGTGGGAGGGAGTAGGACCAGGAGCATCTGTAGAAGTTGACTCTTGTTGGTGGGCACACAGAGGTTCAGAGATT